AAATCATTAACACTTTCTTGACTGGCCTGTAATTTCTTTTGGTACAAAAATCTTTTTCAATCAATGCTATTATATTCATTTACAAAATAATATGGAGGTTCTTTCTTTTCTTAGAAATGTAAGGTTCCGGACTCTTTCTAGTCTCTAGAATCATTTGAGCAACAGTAGGATTATTTAATCTTAAAAGTTTGCTAGTATTTATAATGTGGGTCTGAAACTTTGTGGTTTTTTTTTGGGTAAAGGATCCTTTAGTGTTCATTTCTTCTATGGTAATTGGTTTGTTTTGACTTTCTGTAACTTTACATTTTGGCAATTTGAACTTTTCTTTAAAAAGTTAAAGTTCGATTTATTGTATAAAATTTCTCAAATTTTTGTTTTATGGTTACATCCCCCTTGTCATTTAAGTTTTTCTGGTTGTGCTTCCTCGTTCTGTTCCTACATAAATTAGCTCGCAGTCTGTCTACCTTACTGAGCTCCCACCCCACCAGTCCTACCTAAGAACCAGCTTTTGAATTTATGGCTCTACTGTTCTGATTTTTGAATAATTCTTTTAGCTTTGACCTGTGTTAATTCCTGGTTTTTTTTTTTTTTATTTTAAAGAGTAAAAAATATCAACAAAGACAAAAGCAAAACAACACAAAAACAATAAAAGTGATACAGAATTTCAAAACAAGATGATAGGAAATTAACAATGGTTGTTACATTACATATTGTTATCTTCAACAAAATTGCTCAGATTACCAGATGGAAGAACGCAAGACTGATCAAACACAGAGAATAAAAAACAATAATTAAAAAGCCCATTAGAAATCATACAGGGCTTCACTAAACAAGATGGTAGGAATTCAACAATGGTTGTTATATTGCGTATTGTCTTCAAATTAGTTGTTCAGATTACCAGATATAAGCAGACAAAATTGGTAAACAAAATTTAAGCATTAACTGTTCCTATCAGTTCTGTTTTTTGTTATTGTTCCATACTTTTTTAAGGTTCTTGATAGCACAATAAATTACTATTAATCTCCTATTGTAACTGCATTTTATTTTATTTTTTTTGGTTTTTGGTTTTTCTCCGGTACCAGGAACCGAACTCAAGACCTTGTGCTTGCCAGGCAGGCGCTTTGCCGCTGAGCTAAATCCCCAGCCCCTGTAACTGCATTTTGAAGTATTGTTTTCATCTGTCTTGTAGTCATGTCTCTCCAGTGCTTTGTCTACAGACATGCTGAGCTACTTATTTTCTTCTTATACTAACTTTGAATGAGAGTTGACGGCAATCCTGCTCATTCTTTAAAAGAGTGAAGATGGATTTTTCTGTGCTTTTAGCATCAAGGGATACCTCAGCTGTATCTCCAGATACTGTCTCTTCTAGTTTCATGATCTCGAGCTACCTTTTCTTTTGCACAGTGATTCTGTGATTACGCAGGTCCACATTTATGTATCTATTGGCCTTCCTTCCTAACATTTACCCTGACCATTTCTTTCTATCTTTTTTGCCTACTGTACCTGTGCTATGCAATCTGGATTCTACTTGTAGCAATGTCTCCCCAGTGCTGGGCTGTCTCACTAACTTCAAGAGGAATATAGTACAGTACAAGGCCCAGACCTTGTGCTGTCAGCTCTTACTGTGTAGCTTTAACCCTCACCCGCAGGTGGGAACCCTCCCCCCTTGCAGAAGCTGTGCTCAGCCTGGCCCACTGTCCTTTGCAGTGAGAAGCTGGGTAATACAGCTCTACAGTTTGCAGGCTTTACACACCAGCTGTCTTCTCTCCACTTCCACAAAGATGCAGAAATGATGGGCCATGGTTTGTTCTCATTTATTTGTAGTTTGAAAGTCATACTTTGTCAGCTAGTCCTAGTTATCCTATCTTTTTATAAGTAGATTAAAAAACTGTACTGCTATCATCTGCCCTGAGTTTAAACTCTGTGAAGACCTCTGTAGTAGAAAAGAGATCTTAAAATAACTTTGAGGATTATTCAGAAAGTATAATTAGGAATTTGCTGTATTTTAGATAGTATGCTAAATGTTTTGTATGTACTATCTCATTTAATCCTCCATCAACCTTGTGAATTGTTTTACTACTATTTTCCTCATAGGAAAACTGGTGTCCAAGCTGACACTGTTGAACTGGCATATATAGGACTTAAACCCAGGCCATCTGACTCCAGACCACCTCCTTCTTCAGTGTCTATTAACTACTTTCAGATCCAACAGTTACCAAACTAGGTACCATCATCAGCACCATCCCTTAAGACTTTCTTTTACTTATAAGTATTTAAGAATCTAACAAAAACCAAATACCTATTATAGGTCAAATCTAAAAACACTGTAGATGATAAACAGGTTAATAATAGCTTCTCCTGTTCTAAAGAAAATACTGCAAAGTGGGAAGGGGAGAAGTTCGAGAACAGGGAATAGAGTTATCTGAGATTCTGAATGTCTTTTCTTGCTATGTCACTACTGCTAAGAGCAGAGCATATATGTGGAATATTGCTTATAATTTATTAATAAATATTTTTCTTCTAAACAACTATTTAGAAAAAAGAATAGCTTTTCCCACAACTCATAAAGGCCTAATAATTTTTGGTCAATGTTTCTGTGAAACGTGAACATTCACTGGTCCATAAAGTTTCCCAAGGAACTCTGTCTCTCAAGTATATCAATTAAAACAATTCTATCATTAATATTCTCTTGCTATTAAATTACTCAAGGACTAAAAAATATGTAATAGTTTTATGAATTACTTCTGAGCTAGAATTATTTTCTTCTAACTTTCATTCATAAACATAGGTACTCTTATTATATTACCTTTTAATCTCAGAGGGTAACTTAGGAAAGATAATGTGGGCTTTATAAACTCTTAAAATCATTACACACATGCTATTTTAACTCTCAATATCTAAAAGATGACTTAGTTTGAGACACAGATGTAAAAATCTGTGCAAAGGTAACATGTCGCTAACCCTGCTTTTACCCCATCTTTGGAAGACTTGTTTGTAATAAAAAAAAAACCAAAAAAACTGGTGGTGCTGGGAACTGAACCCAGGGCCTCATACATGCGAGTTAAGTGCTCTATCACTGAGCTTCATCCCCGCCCTATTAACATTTTTTTAAATTAAAAAATAGTTGCCTTTGAAATTCAGTTTTAAAACTAAGCATGCCAATAACAAGCATTTTTTGAAAGTGTATACGAGATTTCCCTTGGGAAGAATGATTATTTTAGGATATTTTTCCTCTAATTTAGGAAGTAAATTTAAAATATTACAATACCTAAATAGTAATATTAATAACTTCTTTTTATACTGATATCTCTAAAATAATTCAACTTTGATTATTACCAAGACTAACTTAAACCCAGCTCCTTCATTTAGATCCCTTCTCCAGTGTAACACCAGACTCAAAGCTCTGAATGCCACCACGCAATGGGTATGATTCACTGGCAAGCTGGCTACTAGTGCAGTTTTTACACCATCTGCTTTGTGATGAGCTAGTTCACAGAAGCAAGGCCACAAAGCAAACCGGCAAGCAAAGTGAAACCCTGGTCCTTACCCTCTTAAAGGGTTACATTTTTTCTCACTGGTCCAGAAATACAAAAATATAAATGACTGTATATGGAGCTGTACCACTGAATTTACTTGAGTGGTTCTGTTTTTGTATTTACATGTTTTTACTTACTTGAAAAAAAATTATACAATTATTACAGGCTGAGTATCCCTTATTCAAAATGCTTGGGACCATTTCAGAAGTGTTTCAGATTTTGAATCTAAAATTTTAAAATATTTGCTTATACATAATACCCGTGGATGAGACCCAAGTCTAAATACAAAATGAATTCCTGTTCATTCATTACTTATACAAAGAGCTGAAGGCAATTTTCTATAATATTTTTAGAGTCCCTCTATTTTGATTGTGACATGAGGTCAAATATGGAATTTTCCACTTGTAGTGCCAAAGTTTGGATGTGGTCTTTTCAGATTTCGGAATTTTGTACTAGGGATACTTAACCCAACAGTCTGAAATTAGAGTGGCTGACAAAACAACTAGAAAGAAGAAAAAATCCAAATGGCTAAAAATAATTCGGTTATAAAAGTACAATTTATAGTATCACAAATCTCAGAAAAATAAACAAAAATACCAAATGTCTTTCCTTCTAGATAAGACTCACTTCTGTTTCCACAAAAGGCAACTAATGATTGAGATTTTACAAAGTTAACTGATATTCACCCTAGAAATGTCCAAATAAAGACATTCACACCATAAAACTTTCTCACTCTTAATATCACATACAATTACATTACTTCCCCGTTACATAAGAGTCCCTTAAAACAATCTCTCTAGAAAATTATCGTATTAGTTAAGCCTATTTATTCTTACTATGAAGTTATTACTTTCATTTATATAGGCCACATAAGTTTAATTGGCACACAAGAGTAAGACAAAATAAGCCATTCTTCTTTAAAAAAATTATAGGATCATTTGTTTTCAAAGAATAATCCTACATAATTCATTAAAGCAAATTTTTACCATCAGGAGTCAAGATTTTTAAATGATCTCTAAGTGCTCACCTGAAGATTATCAATGCTATATGAAGTGTAAACTTGTTTTCAAGATTTGTGTTCATTTTATAAGATACAATTTGTACTGAAGAGTTTTAAAAAAAGATAACCTACATATACAGTTTTGTTTTCCTCAAAGAACTTCTTAGAAATACAATATAAACATTTCTGAACCACAACAGAATCCACTGTGGTTCAAACTTGAAACCTAGTACAAAGGTCACTGGCTCCAGACCATATCAAGTGGTATCAGTATAAGCTTTGATTGTAACTCTATCCCTTAAAAAAACAGAGCACACTTGATTATACATGGCTTTGAACCTTGAGCTACAGTTATGCTACAAATCCCTACCACCCCCCAAACCCATCTAAAGTCGGTCATTTGGAGACACGGACAGTCTCTGAGCTTTGTGTAGAGTCCTTGGTTTCCCAGCTTTGATGGAGATCTCGAAGGCGTTCAGAAGTTCGTGTGCTTACATTGAGAGCAGGATGAACTTTACAAATCCCACTTTCTTCCATTAGTGACAGGCCACAGATCCCAAAATATGCATGCAAAGCATCTGAAAGAGGAGACATTTTTTCCCTTAAAATAGGCATTCTTACTTATGTATGCTATAAAATATTTTAGCTACCAGACCATTACTACATTAAAAATAAATGTAGAAAAATACTAAACACATTTTTGGAAATATTTATTTTCCCCAAGTCTTAAAACACTGCTTTTAAAAAAGATGATCAAAATTTAAAATATGATGAAATTATTATTAACAAACATCTGCCAGCTGAAGAGATGACGTTAGTGTTCACTTGAGGACAGAGAGGAAGAATAGTCATAAGGTAAAGTCTTCTCACTTTAGCAGGTTTTCCTTTTTGCTTACTACAGAATACAGAAACAAATGACTCTGCATTATTATTTTTTCCCTATAAGTGAAAATAAACCTAGCGCTGAACTTAAGGGGCAATACATCCCATCCTTCTACCCCTAACCTTATGATAGTTCCTAAACTATTATGTTAAATGAAAGGAGCAAAAATAACCCACCTTGAAATGCTGTGTTCATTTTAAAGTTCTCCTAGTTAAGATAATGTCAGCCATTCTAAAAATACTTGATCTGACGATAAAACAAACTCATATTCTATTAGGTTACAATAACAGTTCTTCTGTATTGGCCTCACTATAGCTTCCCATTTTCCATGGGCAGCAGCTCATGCGAGCGCTGGCTGCCTCAGAGCCTTACATAGACTTTGGAAGAGCCAAGAATTCGGCAGTTATGGGAACACTGAAAACAAGGCTTGGTAGCAGTTAACATTTGTTTCTATTTTTGAGCTAGCCAGCACGTATAACCTCAAGCACTATTAAAGTTCAAAAGATCTTACTAAGTCAAACGTTGTCAAAAAAGTTAATGCTTAAGACTTTTTCTGGCTTAGTTTTCTCTAATCTTTAGATTCCAAAATAAATTTGATTTCTTCTGTACAATTATATCATTTTATATAGCTATCCTACACTCACAAAGGGCACTATGCAACATGAAACTTTTATTTTTAGAAATTGGAAGCTTTCTGAGGAAATAATGCAATAGAAAGGACCATAATGTATGTTCAGAGTAACAAAAATAGGATCTTGTGTAAAATGAAAATCTCTCCAGATGAAGTTTTATTTTTCCTTACAAGGAATTTTATTGAAGCTAGAGACCAGAATTTATTTCAAATTTCAAGTTTTAAAAAATACCTCTGTACCTGTAGGTAGTGCTATATTAAAGTATTTTAGAAATATATCTTCATGTATAGTAAAATGTTACTCTTTTCAAATGTTTCTTTCATAAATGTGTATTAAAATCTCTGTGTCAAATCTATTTGATTTACTAGAACCAAGACTTAATTTTACAGAACATTATTAAAATGATTTTCTTAAAGACCCTGAGAATAGTTCTTTCCATATTAATTCAATTTATCACACAGAGACTTTCTATGCTTTCTAGTGTACAAGGTTCGAAGATGGTCTAATCTATCTGTGAAAACTGAGTATCCCATACAAACATTTACACAAATGTTAATGCTAGCCACTGATCTCTCCAGGAAAAAAACTTTTAAGAATTTGTTTTTGAAAATGCTGTTAGGAATACATGATACACTTTAAGTTTATACAAGGATACTTTCTTTTTTTTTTTTTGGTTTTTCTCCGGTACCAGGAGCCAAACTCACAACCTTGCACTTGCCAGGCAGGCGCTTTGCTGCTGAGCTAAATCCCCAGCCCCAAGAGATACTTTCTAAGAGATTGTAATTTCAATTATTTTTAAGATAGTACCATACATTGATTTTGAAAAACAGTAAAACCAAAATAACTTTCACCTTTCTTGAGGCATTTTAAGTGTGTATCGCTATGTATTATTTTAGAGCTATATACTGTACATACCAAAATTTAAAAACGTTTTGCTTTAGAAATTAATTTGTGAAAACATACTTTAGCTTATAACTGTGAAAGCATTCTCTTTTTTGTACAAAAGCATAAAAATACAGGTAAATACGAGTGGGAGAAAATATTCCTGCTCTCTGAAGTGCAAAAATATGATTTCATGAGCCCTTCAAATTTTGATTCAAGTACACATTCCATCCATAGCAGTGCTATGACAGGAAATGAGCTGAAGAGATAACCTTTTGTTTTTTGTTCTTTTTTTTTCTGTTTTTTTGAGACTGGATCTCGCTAATGCAGTTCAGGCTGGCCTTAGCTCACTTTGTAGCCTAGGCTGGTCTTGAAGTGCAACAATCCTCCTGCCCCAGCCTCCCAAGTGCTGGGATTACAGGCTTGCGCCACCATGCCCGGCCTGATGAGGTAACGATTTAGACTGAAAATAAAAACCATAACTCTATTGCAATGCTATAAAAACAATTATTCCTTATATTTGGTTTATATATTGATAGTAATTCTTTGACAACTTGCTAGCAAAAATATCAACACTATGAATTATTTTCATTCTTACACTGATTTTCATGGGAAAGTTATAAATGCATAGTTTAGACTGCTGAAACGGTAAGGCTGGTGAATAATGCTAGAGGTGGGAAAAGAGACAGACTGTGAGTGCCATTCACATTACTTCAATGTATTTGGTTCCTGAGCTTTGGACAGGAATGGTCTAAGTTCAGATATCAAGTATTCACCTAAAAACATTACCTGCATCTGCTGAAATCTAGAGAACAAGAACATGGGCGGTGAGGGACACCAGTACTCAGGATTTGACACATTTTTCAGTTAACGACTTCTGACATGAGTAAGAACTGGTTTCCTTCAGGATTGAGAGCAATTTTTTTCTACTTAGCTCCAATCACACCTAACAATTCTGAATGAGCCACACAATACCATCAGAAATGAAAAAGACACTGCTAAGAATGTGGGGAAATGCACGCCATACTAATACACCTTGATATTCAGCCTTTTCCTTTATAATGGTCATCACCCTAAATCTACCTCAAACTTACATAATTTATCTTTTAAAAAACATAGTATTTAACTGTACAAATATGGCAACATTTTCTACCATATACCCTTTCTGTCAAAGATGCTTGAAGAGGGGGCTGGGGATTTAGCTCAGCAGCAAAAGCGCCTGCCTGGCAAGCGCAAGGTCATGAGTTCGGTTCCCGGTACCGGAGAAAAACCAAAAAAAGAAAAAAAAAAAAAAAAGATGCTTGAAGATTTCAGGAAATGAAAGAAATGTTATTCTGAATTAATAAAGGAAATAAAAGGAAATAATTACCTGGATGACTGTCTGGCCATTTGGCAAAGCCTCCTACAAGGCGATCTTGAGTTGATAAGATGTAATTTCTGTTTTTCTCAAAGTTAGTGTACTGGAATATTTTCAGAAGCTGAAATGAAATAATTGACATAAAATGTTTACAGTGACATTGCCTTACATTTCAGATATGTATCATTTAGATATGTGTTCCTGTAGCTAAGGCCTCTCAGAGCAAATCTTTGGGGATTCCAACACTTACAATTCATCAGAATACTGTCTTTTTTTTTTTTTTCCAATCTTCTTGCCAAGTCTACCCTCCTTTCTTAATTCACTATTTTCTTTGGGCCCAGAAGGAACCTAAGCTCTTTGCAACACATTAAGCTAGATCAAAACACAATTTCTCCCATTAGCTCTCCAATAATGAATCAGTTAAAAGTTAAAAAACATTTTAACTTTTACTACAGGCTCTTAATGTATTTGTTACAAATTGGTAGCAACTGGAATTAAAAATATTTCAAAAAGAAGCAGGAAAAATTATTAACCAGAAGCTAGAGATAGGTTTATGTAAGGACAATGAGAACTTACAGTTCTTTAGTGATTTAGGACATGTATTTTATAGTCTTAGGATTGCATTAAGAAGCTGAAAAAAAAAAACTATGAAGGAAATGGAGTTGAGGGAAAAAAGAACTCAAGGAAGTTCTGTAGATACGGGGGCATAAAGTGTGCTAATGACTCAAATAGAGCCACAGGGAGATATTAGTGATTGGTGAATAAACATTACTCAACTCCCCCTTGAAACCCCAAAACACCGCAAGTTTAAAGGAAATTATGACACAAATGAATTTACCCCTTTATTTTAATTTAACTAACAGAGTGTAGGGAAAGAGACTCTGGGATCCTGATGTTAGGAACACTCCCCAACAAGCAGCACATGCATTGTCACATAAAAGGAGCAAGTATAATCTCAATGCTGTACTTCCTAGATCAAGTTTGTGAAGGGAGCTCACAAGGGCTAAACTGCAACGTGAGTTCAGGGCCCATCAGACTAGCTCTCTGGAGAAGGACACTGACTGTGGTCTCTACACCCACCCACGTTCTCAGTTCAAAGCAGCTAGATGGAAACTATACCCCCTTTCCTTTACTGCATTTAGGGATACCTTTTTTGGGGGTATATTACAGACAGCTAAGTTAAGTGGAAATATAGGCAGTCAGACAGGACTGGGCTCTCAAGGGAGTCAATGCAGAAGATGAGAACACTCTGGACCTGTGGCTGGAGGGGCATCTGAAGATAAAAATCACAATGGCCACATTTACATATTTCCCTAAGGGGTAAACGGAAGTTTGAGATTATTGGTATCACCCTTTTGAAATTTCCCTATGAATAAACCATTATCTCATTAGGGCTGGGCCTTCCACCTTCTAAGACTAAGACTACTAAAGACTAAGTATGATATTTAATATTTATACTGTCAATAAATGTTGACCACTGGTTTGTAAAATTTTAGAATTAACCTATAGGTAAAAAATAAGATTTGACTATTGTTACTAAACAAAGTAAGAATGTTACCTAGTGTGACATTATAAAAGTAAGCTTACAGATTTGAAAGGTAAAAGACTCAAGTTTCAGAACTAATAATAAAATAATCATTAACAATTTGATAGAAAAAAGGGAAAGTAAATCTTACTTTTTCATAGTTGGGAATCAAAGATATCTAGAAATTAACAAAGGTATCTAAAAATAGACAAAGATGTCCAGGGCTATGAAGTCAAGAAACTGGTATCATTCAAAGTTAAGGTAATGTCCACAAAAATGAAAATTAAAAAATGGTTAGAAGTGGTTGCCTTCAGGAGTGGTCAAATATTAAGACCGTATCAGTAAGATTCAAGGACTGACCAAACACAGGTTAAAAACAATCTGATCATTGAAAAGATATGACTTCACAATGATACTCACACGAAACCCCTCTAAAACCCAAAATTTCATTGGGAATCTTGAGCGGATGCTACATAACCAATTCACTGTGCTGAACACTACTAAAATTAGTGGAAGGAAAGGTCTCACTGCTCTTTTCTGTACAAACTATACCTCGGGGTAAGTAAAATTCTTTTTAAAGGAATGCGAATGAATAAATTTAGCAGTAATGATAGAATGTCACCATTTCTAATCCCTTAATGATATAAAGAATGATACTGGCTGGATCTTATATCATATAGTACAAAAATTAACTCAAGTCTAATCAAAGACCTAAACATCAACTATACAATTATACAACTATTAGAAGACAAACTTAGGGAAAGTCTTTATGACAATCATTTGGCAATTATTTCACAAATATCCTACCAAAAGCACAAGTAATAAAAGAAAAAATACATTAAATTGGGCTGCATCAAAACTAAAAATGTTTGTGCATCTAAGGACACCACAAACAGTTAAAAGGCAATTCAAGTAATAGAAGAAAAAAATTTCTAACCCATATACTAATAAGGGATTAATATTCATAATAAAGGATAACATCCACAATAAATGAATACAACGAAAAACTCCTAACATTCAACAAAACCTGATTTAAAAGGGGGCAAAAGACTGGAATAGACATTTCTCCCTAAAAGACATACAAGCGAACAACGAGCACATGAAAAGACACTCAAGTATCACTAATTACTGGGGAAATGCAAGTCACAACCACAGTGAGATACCCTTCAGACCACAAGGACAGCTACTTCATAAAGACAAAAAACAACCAGAAAAAAAACAAGTGTTGGTGCGATGTAAAGAAACTGGAACCCTTACACAGTGGCAGGAACGTAAAGGGTGCAATTGTTGTGGAAAGTGCAGCAGTTCTTCAGAAAGTTAAAGATAAGACTCTATAAAGTTAAAGGTAATGACAAGCAATTTTACGTCTGGGTACGTAAGTCTTTTTTGGACAAAAAACAAGAACTTGAACACGTATGGTGCACCATGTGCATCGCACCATTGTTCACAAGAGCCAGGAGGTAGAAACAACTCCAGTGACCACTAACAGAGGTATGAACAAGAAAAAGGTGGTATTGTACATGAAGTAGAATCTTATTTAGCCACAGAATGATATATTTTGGTATGTATTACAATATGGATGAACCCTGAAAACAAGCTAAGTGCAGTACTGTAGACAGAGAAGGATAAATACTTCATGATTCCGCTTATACAAAGTACCTCGATAGGCAAACAAAGAGTAGCGCAGAGGTTAGTTACTGGGGGTAGGCGGGGTGGCGGTGGGGGCGGTGGGAAGTTAACATTAATCTGGTATTGAACTTATGTGGGGGATGATGAAAAACTTCATATAAACTGTGGAGGTGATTATACAACACTGTGAATCCAATAAGTATCACTGCACATGTTATGCTTATTTTACTACAATAAAAGAAAAAGTAAAAAAAAAAAGCTGATGGGAACTTTATAATGAAAAAAATCATGTTAATTCTGGAGCCCTTTGATCAAAAGGAGAGATAACCAGATATTATGTGCTTCTTGATATGATTCATCATCACTGACTGGATGTTTAATGGTTAAGAAATTATGACTAATTTTTTAGATGTGATACTAAGGTTATATATACACATTCATATATGTTTGTATCCATGTATATTTATACATATACATATATATATACACACACACACACACATATATATATATATATACAAATTTCTAAGTGACCAGATAGGGCTCAAATTTATAGTCCTTCTGCTTTAGTCTCCTAGAGTGCCGGGATTACAGGTATGTGTGCGCTACCATGTCCAATTTAAGGTTCTGTCTTTAAAAAGTTAATTTCATTTAGAGATTACCTTGAAGAATTCTAGATAATATAAAAACTGTATCTAGAATTTGCCTTAAAATAACACAATGAATAGGAGGAAGTACTTAAGAGTATGGATAAGGCTCTGAGACGGTAAGTATCGAGACGGGCTAATGCATATATGGGAGTCATTGCACCACTCTCCCTACTTGTGAATGTAGACATTTTCTGTAACGACAGAGAAATCAGTACGCTGAGAAGTGGCACCAGAAGTACGGAGAAACAGGAGGCTGCTGCTACCATTTTAAGTCATTCTCTTGTTTGAATTTGTTTCAACCATATGTATGAGTCTCCTTTATGAGAGAAAATAAAGACATCACAGAAAATGAATGTAAATTTTTGTTAGATGTTAGAATATATGAATTATATGATATTTCTTAAAGGTAAAAAATATTTTTAAGATAGCTTGTGGTATTACTGGCTCAATGACTTTATGAAGTTAGCATATTTTAATACCTTTTAAGGTATTAAAGATAGAAGAAAATTTGGACTATTCAGACAAAAAGATTAAAAAGCTTAGTTTTTCAAGAAATGACCCACTGGCTATTTCTTAAGATTAATAACTTCTCATAAAATCCTTACAGGTATCACTTTCAGTTGGATCCCTGTATTACACGGACAACTAGTCATCTGTAATAAGAGGCTTTTTACGATATTAGATGTATAAGAAAGTAGGCATATAACAAGTTGTACGTTTGAGTTTCGCAAGAAAATTTTAATTAGTGCAACAGACAAAATTTAGTAGCCCATTGCTAACAATGTTTAATGCACACTACAAAGACCAAACCATTAGCAGAACTTGTATGACCACAGAGTACAGGTTCCTCATTTTATTGTTTCTCTTACCTTGAGAGTTGCTCCCACCCAGAAAGAGTAACAGGTGTCCACTGGCTTGTTAGGTCTTCCATGATAACCATTCTGTTGCCTCATTATACACCATCTCTTTATCCTGTTTAGCTCTTTTTCTGAAAAAACTTCTTCTAGCTTACCCATCAGGCATAGTGATGCAATGCCACAGAAGGTGGAGCCTCCTGTTAATCAAAACCACACAATGCTATAAACTTCACCTTAGATGCCTACACAAACAGTACGAAATGCTTGGGAAAAAAGTGGTTAAATAATCGTAAAACACAATGAAACAATTTAAACAGTAATTTTGAAATAATTAGTAAACACTGAAATCTTCAATGCTAATCTGTTGACAGATTTTAAAATAATTTAAAGCTAGAAAAAACATTTTATTCGTGAAGAAAGGACTTGGAACCGATTTAAAGAACTTGTTCAAAATTATATGGTTAATAAGAGATTTGAAACCAAATTCTAGGACTACTAAGTCCCTGTCTAGGACACAGTCACGTGACTCTGACTTTAAGTGCCTTAAAAGATAGCACAGGTGGCCCCTTCTATTTGTGAGCTCTGCAACTATGGATGTCATCAAATGAGGATCAAAAATATTTGCAGAAAAGTGGAGTACAGTGTTTGGTTCAGGGACGTTTCATTTGCAAACAACTTGGTTCACAACAGAAGCATTTAGCAAAATTGTTTTTGTTTGCAAAATGTGCAAAATTTGCATTGGGTGACAAACATGACCGTAGCCATCTTTCCCACATAAACACAAATATGGCCATCTTTTCTGAAACCATGGAACAAATTAAGCTAGTAAACCAAGGTATCCCTGCATACTGAACAGACATTTTTCCTGTCATTATTTCCTAAACAATACAATGTAACAACTATTTACACAGCATTTACATTGTTGATTTCATAATCTATAGATGATTTAAAGTATATGGGAGGATGTACATAGGTTACTTGCAGATACTACACCACTGTATGTGAGACTTGAGCATTTACGTTTGTAGAGGTCCATGTGTAGAATGAATAACAACAGGTATACTGAGGGCACACTATTTTACTCAGGAAATGAAAAGTCAGTATTTTTCTATAAAAGAAATGACACTTTCCACTGGCACTCTCTGTTGATAACATCAAACAATTTGAAAAATACTTGTATTTCCAATTTACTATAGATTTATCTGGTGTTATGACTTACATGAGATCTAAGCCCAAAGCCTCATGTGCTCTTGGGTGGGGCTTTTCAGAGGTGGCTGGATCATGGGTGTGTGATGCTGGGATTGAGGGTGTGTGGTATCCAGATTAGCCTCCCAATGGGATCAGCACAGCTCCAGGTGTGGCTGAAGGGATTTACTGAAGAGCGAAGCCACACGCTCGGCGAGGGTGGCACCACTCAACAGGCCCATAGTCCTGATGGACTACAAAAGGAAGAAAGAACAGCAGGCTTGCTGCTTTCTGCCTGTCCTGTACGGAGTGCTTCTCTGCAATGCCCCTTTGCCATGCCACCTGCCGTGGAGCCAGTTTGCTGGACTGAAGCTGCCATAAACTGTGATCCAAAATAAACCTCTCTTCCTTTAAATGGTGGGTGGCAGGTGTTTTTGTCTCAGCAACAAGAAAGTAACCAAGACCTCTAGGGATTTTTATTAATCTCAGCATTTTAAATGGGTTATTTCTAATATGTCTCATCTTCCAATTTTCCTTCTGATGTGACAAGTGGTGCATGGGAAAGTGACCTCCCTCTAAAAATTCACAGCAGCTATCATACTTAATGTGTTCCTTCAGTGAGAATTATTTAATCTTTAGAATTCTTGAGTGAACTAAAACAGAAAAGTAAAGCAAATTTATCACAACCTTTTAGAAAAACTTCTATTCAGAAACTATCAATTGTATTTTCTTGTCAATGATTCACTAGTTTCATTATTTTTTTCTTCTTGTTTTCTGAGACGAGACTACTCACTATGTAGTCCAGGCTGGCCTTGAACTCAGAGTAATCCTTCTGCCTCAGGCTTCCATGTGCTGGGAGTACAGGTCTGCGCCACCACACCTGGCATAACTCAGTAGTTTCAATTTCTCTTTCACGATGGCTATGACTTCAGGTATTATTGTATCATTAAACACAATGTCTCTAATTGACATTATGTATTTAAGTATTACCCTTTAAACTCCTTGTTAGGGTTCTTGAAAGCAAACGGGTACAATTCAAACTGAAAACACTCTTTACTTTGCGTGTTACCATCTTTTGAAAGTGGTTATTCCAAAAGTAAGTCTGGGCTTTGAGTAGTCAGAAACAACATAGCACAGTCTATGCTTTAAGCTAAAATTAATTTGCCAACAGTTAAAAACCTACTGCCTCTCAAGAATCTGGCTTTATACAAAATGCTAGAAGAATGTTAAAGGCAGACATAAAAGCAGAAAAAAATCTAGAACATCTTGACAAGTAAGACCGTAAGAGTTGGGTATGGTGGCACACACTTGTAACCCCAGCATTCTGGGAAGCTGAAGCAGGAGGATCACAAGTTTGAGCCCAACCTGGGCAATTTAGCAACTTTGGATTCAGACCCTTAAAAGTCAAATTGTGTTTATTATGCTTTAGCTGAAGAATATCTGAAGAAAACTTTAAGGCACATAACAGTAAGAAAATATTATAGCACACAAAAAATCAATAGTAAGAGAAAGATTTCCATGTAAATAATTAAATCTGTCACTTAAGTGATACACTGTAGTTCAATGGAGAATCAACATACATAGAGTACCTCAGTGAGACAATACCACAGCAAGGAGGGACCACAGGGATTCTCTGGGTTCTTCCAATGCAAGGTAAAGGTGGGTTCCCACTCTTAGTTCTGACAGCTATGTTCCATTTATATATTATCAGAATAACAGCTGCAAGTTAATTTATCAGCCCTGTAAGATTTTACAGCTCAATTTTAAGCATTCATTCTCTTAGTATTTACACCTGAGAGAAACTATCTCCTCTGAGGTGTACTTTAAGGTAGTCAATAATCATACTGCTAGAGGTGAAGAAGAAAACTAAACGAACAGACATGGAAATAAGTACATTATTTTGCACTTCACATAAAAAAGGTGAAATAATTTCAAGGGAACTGAATATTCAGATGAAATTAAGGTCAAAGCTTCAATATTCCTGTTCTGGATTAAAAAGTAGAGATATTTAAAAAGGATCATGGAATAAAATTAAATTATCTAAACTTTTATATTGTAAATCTTGAGAGGAAAAAGTTTTATCTCTAGCAAAATAGGAAAATCCAATTCTTTAAGACACATTAACATTTTATCCTAAAATTGTTCTGCTACAGAAATATCACTGGGATAAAGCAAATCACATTTGATGTTCATGGCCTAGAAGGTTACAACACGCCCACTCAGTTTTTCTGAGAAATTTGCTATTGGCTAAGCAACAGCTGGAAAAGTTCAACATACCATTTTTGTTGTTCTTATCTCTGTTTACCAGATCATCTCTTGCTAGACTGTAAGATGATCATGTCTGATTCTTCCCTTATTATTCCACATACGCTGTATGTTGCAGTGGTTCCATTAATATGTGATTTATTAGTTTCCTTGTATTTCATTTTGCATCCCCAGATTGGAAAGTTAAATTTGAAATATTTCTGTCACAGTTTGACAGTGATGTAATTTTTTGTGTGCTTTTCTTCCTAATTCCCTAATCTAAACATTCTTAATATATTGTTTGTTTGGTTTTGGTTGTTCTTCCCCTTCCTCTAATTTAGGTATTCTTTTCCAACTGTTGCTTAACCCAGAGACCATTTGTCGGAAAAGCTCATTCAGCCAGAGGCTGAGATGGTGAGCACTGGATTCTGCCTTCTCAGAAAGTTTTAGAGCCATCAGATTTTATCTGACAACTACAACTACATCCCTCTTGACCATGGACCATGGGGATGACCCATGACATAATCTCTACTGAAACCAGTCAAGGCTCGGATGCACCTGGACATACATTTCTTAAGTGAGAAATTGCTCAAGTTGTTTTACAGCAAAAGCCTCTGGAAATTTATTCAAGGGCAATTTTAAGCTAATAAAAAATGGATATGCACAGAAAAAACCAGCAGCCAGTCAATGACCTTCTGACATTATAAGCTCAAAATCACTTGGGCAGAACATAATTTACCTAGAAAAGAAATAACGTGACCTAGGAAGAGACATAATGACCATGTTTACCTGCTTCAAAGTACCCCAAAACTTTCTCTTTTCATCATCTAGTCAGTGTGCAGCTTCTCCCTTCCTATAAACCCCTGATACCAAATCTCTGGCAGGGAGGCAATCTGAGTTTATAGCCACTAAGCCTCCTACTTCCCTGACAGTGACCATACAATAAAGCGCACTCTCTCCTTTTTTTTCAGTTTGGTGCTGTAGTATTAGCTTCTATGCACACAAGGCAGTGAGCCCTTGCTTGGAATCTCTGTCAAAAGCTCCCCTCCACCCAATCTCATTTAACTCAGGCACATAAAAGAATGCACCGTCACATTCCACTGTGGTTTCAGAGGAAAACCCAAATCCATCTTCTTCTATCCCTTAGGGATACACACTCTACAAATGTCCCACCTGAGGGAAAGAGTGAAGATGTGAGAGGAGACATCTGATAGGACGAAGTCCCCGGGATACACAAAGAATACACAGAATGTTAAAAATGTATTTTTATACAGGTTTTACAGTTTACAAATCACTTTGTGCTCTATTTCTTCTAATTTTAAAGAAAGACAATTATTTCTAATCTGAGGATGAGGAAACACTGGAGCCAAGGTAACACAGCTGGGCTTGTGGCCAAGCACCAAACAATGATCTGCTGCGTCACGCTAGCGAACACGGAGACAGCAAACACGCAAACATAACCCGCTCTGCTGAAGAGGAAACTGCAGTTCATCAGAAAGCCTACAAGAGCCAGGCTTGTTCTTTAAGGAGAATGGAAGCTTATTTATTTCCGAACGGAAACTTCAACCCTGAGTTAAGGCTTCAGATGTGCTAACAAACTTAACGGCTATTATCTCACTGTTCTGATTCTGCCAAAAGTGAAGAAAAACATAAGGGCGGAGACTGTTAGTGTTCGTACTGACCATCAGTTAAGTAGCAAATGTTTTATGAGTATCATTAAGGATAATTATATTAAGGAAGATAAAAATTTTCATCTCTTCTTGAATTTGATTCACATTTAAGCCTGCATCTCTCTTAGTTAGCCTTTTAGTGTTATGCAAAGAAAATAACCTGCTGTTTTCTAACAATGGCTTAAGAAATAATCACAAGATATTTTCATGTGTCTAACACTTGAATAGACTACTAAAAATATTGTACGAACATGCTGGCTTGAATAACCTCTTAATGAGGCTTCAAATAGGTACCAAAGTATCAAAAGACAGAAAAAGGAAAGTAACAAGATAATATACTTGCACTAGGGGCTGAGACAAACTTCAGAGATCTATATAATGAAGAGACCACGATGTTTAGGAGACTACAGAAACACCATATTTATTTAAGATGTCTTACCATGAGATTCAAGTCCAGCTCCCTGTGCCAGCCCATTGTCATAGGACTGAAAAAGAAAAGTTCTGTTTAGTTTAATAAGAAATAGTAAGTTGCCACTGTGTTCATTTTTGTCTCTTATTTTTCATTTATATCTTCAAAAACACACATTTTTCTCCAAGGAGAAGTAGAACCAGTCACTTTCAAAACACCTGATCTTGTCTTCTCTGCTAACTACACACACTTGCAACATTCTGAGAGCAGACTGCTTTTTAGGACCTTTTTAGGACCTCCATAACTGATCTCTACCAGGTTAAAAGCTTTGACCCTTACTCCTCCCCCATTTCCAAGTATACATAAACTGAATAAAAATGTGAGTATTCTATAGTCATAAAACTTTATAATCATGAAACAAAGCTATTTTGAGACAGTTTTGGTTTTCTAAGAGTAATAGTCCCTGTCTAAATTTCAGTCTCCTCACATATCCTCCAAAATCAAAGCCGAAAAAGAAGACACAATCAAGCTTCAGACTACTTGAGCATGGGAAAAGAGGCATTAAATCCCACTAAACTATCTTTCACATCGCTGGTGTACATTTGCAGAGAGCAAAAGTGATTTGTGAAACATTATGAGTAAGAAAGAGGAGGGGAAGTCAGTGCGGTGGCATATGACTGCAATACCAGCACACCAAGAGGCTGAGGCAAGAGGACCTCAAGTTTGAGCCCAGCCTGGGCAACTGAATGACTTAGATCCTGGAAGGAAGGAATGAAGGAAGGAAGGGAGGGAGGGAGGAAGGAAAGAAGGGAAGGGAGTTTGGGGGGAATGGGTAAAGAAGCCAATGAGCATGTCTGAGATTGACTTAAAATCATGGTCTAAAATAGAAAGCACACCCTAAGAGTGAAATTACAGGTAGGCCTTGCTCCAATATGTATGAATTTCAAGTACTGTGGTTAAAACAATGGTATAAAAAATGATTCCAACTGTATTACCCACAATAATATTAACTGTGTGCAACTGCATAAAGTGCAACTTCTATAGTCCACAATCATCACATAAAATAATAGACATGCGTCTTAATGAAGACCAACGACATCCTCCTTTGCAGAGTCTGTAGTTAATGTACATGCTACTTAGTTCAGACACAGAGCAAAGGATGTGGCTGTGCCAGCTCTATCTCGCAGCGATAAACTCACATGTAAAGAAATAAAAAGCACTAAGTGAAAATGACATCAGAGTTACTGAAGAAATAACTATATGGAACTGTTGACAATTCCAGACATACAGCTGGATGAAAAAGTAAAGGTGAAGTATCTACATGAGCAAGGGAAGGAGCTGAGGTGTAAGACAAAGATGTTCTAGAGAAGTGCTGCTGGCACAACACTCCACGTAACAGGAATTCTGAGGATGCTTCATTACACTGCAAACACAAAGGAGAAAATGTTAAGAACTGATTAAACTTAGAAGCAATTATGGTCTTTAGAAATGATGGCTGCTCCACACAGTAACTTACAGAACAACAGGAAGCCAAAACACTGTTCAAAGCAAACAATTTCTCAATTTCTTTTTACATTTAAAATTATAGTGCATCTTTTGGGGTCTTCGGACCGGCG